ATAAAAATCTGAGATTGGAAGATCTATGATGAAGTTCATAGAAACAGAAGACCATGGTTGTTTTGGAATAGATAATGGCTAAAGAAGTCCAAAAGGTCGATGACGAAGAGTTTTTGATCTTGAGCAAACATCACATAATTGTACAAAATTTTTGACTGCCTTCTACATTTGAGGCCACCAAAAATCCCTAGATATCAGCTCCAAAGTCTTATTATATCCAAAATATCCTATTGCTGGAAAGTCATGATGAGCTTGAAGAATACGTAAATGTGCTTCTCCTTCTGGAACATATAGGTGTCCTTCGAAATAGAGTAGGTTGTTCTTGAATTCAAATTTAGAGGGATCATGAGATTTAGAAGGATTATTCTTGATATCATAAACAAGAAGGTCTGAAGACATACTTAACTGGACTTGCTTAAGAAAAGTTAAATCAATTGTCAATGTTGATTTTATTGCTCGAAGATGAAATTGCTCCAGCTTCAAGAGAACCATTCTTTGTTGCTCAAAAGCTGCATCTCCTTCTTTTAGTACAATATAAGAACGTCTAGATAAGGCATCGGACAAACCTTGTTGTTTTCCTAGCCGATAAGTGATGATGAATTCGAATCTTGATAAAGACATGCTCCAACGAGCTTGACGATGATTTAATACACATGTTGACATAAAATACTCAAGGTTCTTATGATCCGTATACACAGTGATTGGATTGGAAATGCCTTCTAGATAATGACGCCATTCTTGAAAAGAATCTACGATTGTAAGAAGTTCTTTGTGGTGGATCTCATAATTGATTTCTGCTGGTGAGAATTTTCTTGAATGAAAGGCTACTGGATGAAGTTTGTCATCTATTTCCATTTGTGATAAAATTGCACTCAGAGCAAAGTTTGATGCATTTGTTTCCATAAAGAATGCTTTGGAAAAATCAACTCGATACAAGATTGGTGCAAAAATAAACACTATCTTCAAAGATTCAAAAACAACTTTCGCTTCTTGATTCCATTGGAGTTTGTCTTTACAAGTCAAACGTGTAAGTGGAGCTGCAACTCAAGAGAAGTCCTTAATGAAGATTCAATAGTAGTTGGCAAATCCCAAAAAACATTGGACATCTCTTACCGTTTTTGGAATCTTTCAATCTATAATAGTTTGAACTTTCTTAGGATCCATCATAAGTCCATCATTTGAAATGATGTAATTTAAGAAATCGACTTGAATAGTGTGGAATACACACTTTTCTATCTTAGCATAGAGTCTTGCATCTCTTAATTTTTGTAACATACAACGAACATGAAGTTCATGTTCTTCTGGATTCTTACAATAGATCAAGATGTCGTCTAGATAATAGACCACAAAATCGTCCAAAAACTCTCGAAAAACATCATTCATTAGATGTTGAAAAGCTGCTGGTGCATTTGTAAGTCCAAAAGGCATGACGTTGTATTCAAAATGTCCATACCTAATTCGAAATGCAGTCTTCCATTCATCTCCTTCTTTGATGCATACTAGATTGTATGTTCTCCGGAGATCTATTTTTGTATAGATCTTAGCTTGATTCAGCTGATCAAGAAGTCCAAATATTAAAGGTAGTGGATACCTGTTCTTAATGGTAATCTTGTTGAGTCCTCGATAATCAATACACATCCGCAATGATCCATCTTTTTTCTTCATAAATAGAATTGGAGCTCATGCTGGAGATTTAAAATGGCGTATGAAATTCTTGGCTAGATTTTCTTCAATATACTCCTTGAGTTCAGTGAACTCATTTTGTGATAAATTGTAGATTGGTCCGAATGGTGGTTGTGCTCCTTCTTAAAGGTCAATTGAGCAATCATAGGGACGATGTTCCAGGAGTGTATTCGCATTTTTTTTTTTCGAATATATCTTGAAATTCTTGATATTGGCTTGGAATGCCACTTCAAGTCTTTTCACCAGTAGAAACAGGTGTGGCATAAATAATATATGGTGATTCTTTTATAGCAGCATGCAAGAAAGCTTTTGCACCTACAAATATGGGTTTAATTGAACTGGACTTATGACTCTCTACTTAATTAACTACACTGTTAGTTATACTTTTAGAAAAAGTAAGAGTTCGAGAAATCCAATCTATTTGAGGGTTGTATTTTTTTAACCACGATAAACCTAAAATGACTGGATTAGAGGGAGATCTAATGATATTAAATACTACAAAGCTATTATGACCATTGATTATTACTTCTATAAGAAGGGTTTTGTGAATAATATCTTCAAAAGATAATGGACGACCATCTATGACTTCTACATGAACAAGTTTAGTTTTCTTTACTAAAGATATGTTGTGTTTTTTGGTAAATTCTTCATCTAAGAAACACGCCGAGACTCCTGAATCTAACAAGGCAGAGGCTTTGTAATATTTAGGTCCTAAAATAACATTTAATGTAAAACAAGGACAGGGCTCTGAGGAGAGAATAGGACCTTTACTAGATGTTGTGCAAGGTTCCAGCCGCATGGTTCCTATTGTAGCTGGACAAACTCGTTTTCTGACATATTGTCTTCTTTCACAGCCATACTCTTCATTTTGTGATTACGTCGTTTCTTTGGAAAATATTGAACATAATCCTTCTTGACGACGACAAGTCTTTTTTTGCTCAGTAAGAGGTTTGAAACGTACTGCATCAATTTGCATATCCTCTACTTCTGAATGTATGTGCTGAAGAGGTATTGGTGTTGCCATTGAATTATAGTAACGTTGAGGTCGGTTCTCAGATCAGAATTCAAAAAGGCGATTGTCGCACTTCACAGCAAAGTCAATTGTTTGACTCAATGTTTGAGGATCAGTTAAGTTGAGCATTAATTTTTTTACCTCATATTGTAATCCGTAGAGAAATTGGCTAATAAGTGCAACATCATCCCACTTGATATCAATTGCAAGTTATCAAAATTATAAAGCGTATAATATTACTGATCAATTGCCTTGTTGTAAAATACGGATCTTGTTGGTTGTAACACAAATTACATCATGTTCTCCATACATGGATCGAAACTCCGCCAGAAAAGCCTCTACATTATTTAATATTGGATCTCGTTGTTCAAGAAAAGATGAAAACCATGATAGTGCTGAACTTGAAAGAAGCGTACTAATGAATCTAACTTGTGATCCTAGAGTTGGATAGTTTTGGGATTGAAGTTCAATCTCAAGTTGCACTTGATTAATAAATCCTCGAAACTTGAATCTGGTACCATCGAACTTCTCGGATAGGATAATTCTTGGTTCTCTAACACTGGAAGGGCGTTCCACCATAGGAAATAGGACATGATTTGGTACAAATGTTGAAGCAACTCCAACCATTTCTGTATCTTCACTTCCTGCCAATCTTGTTGCTCCTTGTGGTGGTAAATTGAGTTGATGGATCGCAAGCATTAACTCTTTCAATTGCTCTTGTATTTGTACCATTGCACTTTTCATTTCAACAAGTTCTGCCATGATAACACTTAGAAAAGAGAAGTTTTCTAATATCGCTCAAGACAAATAGAAGAGAGGACTTGAGAACAAAGAAAATACTAAAGATAATATCAATTTAGAAGAGGGTAATCCGCAACTTCTAATATGCTTATATCTTATCAAGAAAAATGAGTAACCCACTCTTAATCAAGATTAGACAAAGCTCTGATATTATAGGTGTACTCTTGTCAATCTATCAAGGACAAGAACTCGATAAAAAAGAAATTCATATAAGTGAGCCTTCACTCAAAGAAAGGTAACAAAATATAAATAAACAAGTATGTATATTGAAAGAGAAACTGGAATGGCTATTGCCAAAAGACAAGAAAACTAGAGACCCTTGAAATTAGACTAGAAGCAAGAAAGGAGTTGACAAGAGTGAAGAGGGCTTCACTCTTGTCTCTATATATACTATCTAATTAGGAGCTACGTGGCGACATTCTATAGGACCTCCAATATGTATTGACTTTGTAGGACACATGCCTTGACTTACAAGGCAAGTTTTTCTATGTGTGGGCCATATAGTTAGCTTGATCTTCAAGCTAACAACATGTGTGGCTCATGGCCAATTTGTTGACCACGTTTCTAATCCAAAAAATCAATTAAAGACACCTATGAAGTCAAAGCAGCATCTATGAAGCTTCTAAAAAGCTTCCATATTAAATACTATAGAATTAACTTACTTTTACCTATTTTTACTTACTTCCACCTATTTGTATATGTAATTACTAGCTTACATGAGTATGTCCGCGACAACCATACATCACACTTCTACAGCTACATCTCACCAAAACAATCATTTGCTTCAATATTGACTCTTTTTGCTCATGGTGTGTTTTTGCTTACATTAGTAAATATCTAAACATGTGACAATAGCACAAATTCAACATGATAGTAAATATTGATATAGGCTAGATTTTCTCTAGTTAAAGTTCTGAGATTGGCTTTATTAAGGCCCTATGAATTGGCAAATTAAGTTAAGGTAAGTTTTGATGAAAACAATGATGATTGAAAAATTCAACCAATCAAAAGACCATTTTTTATCCCTGGTTTATTCTATTGATTTATACCTCCTGATGTGTTAAATAATAGAGATTAATATATCTATTAGTTAATAAAAATAAATTAAACCACAAAAACAAAAATCTTGTGGAAAGTATTTTTTTACATACTCTATTAATTTACTATTTCATATATGCAATTTTAATTCACATCTCAAACTTATGTAAAAACGTATACACATGAAATGAAAGAATTCGACAAAAGTATAAGTAAAAGTTCGACAAAAGTATTCGACTGTCCGACCTTTGCACATGACAGGGAAGGAAGACTCACGAATTTCAGTCGAAGGATAACGAACGAAGTCGACGTCGGCGTCGACGACCCGCCAACTCCGTCACTTGTTGTTCGTTTGTTCCGCGACGGCGACGGCGACGTCGGAGCCGATCATCTGCCCACTCCGCCATTCATTCTCATCGTCACGTGATGACATGCTTGCGCTCTTTCGGGTCGCAATCCTTTGCTTTGTTCTTTTTATACATAAATTGATTTGAAGAGCGCTTTGCGACCAGTCATGGATGCTCCGCAATCCCCGTGTCGTCGTGTTAGAATTGCGTCTCGCAGCCGCCTGACCGGTTCTTCGTCACAGAATCCGGGCCGTCTCGCAATCCGTTTCACTTGTTCTCCTTCGCATGTCGTTTCTCGCCACTTTCCGGCCCCCGCCACCAAATCTGGTTTCGTCAGTCTGCGTCGGGTCTCGAGGATCTCGCTGGCAGTCTAGTTGCTGCCTGCGGTGCCGTGTTGCGTCTTGGAAGCTGAGAAATGTGGGAATTGAGTGTTCCAGTAATTTTTTACAGATGTTGAGCTTTTTGTGTAGTTGTCGTGCAGTTGTGATTTTCTCATGCCCTCGTGAAGTGCTTGAGGGTTGACATTGGAATTTCTTCAGGGAGAGGCCTTGAGGTCATGATTAAGGCGTAGGATCACGGAGATTTTCGAAGTGCAATTTTTTATTTGTGTTCAAATAAAATGGATATCTTTTTGGAAACCCTGAGTTGGAAGAGAGGGGGGAGAGTTTTGGAGGATGTACCTTCCGTTTTGAGCAGTTCGGTGCTAATTCTTAGGGTCTGGTAAGGAGAGAACGAGGAGGATCGTCTCATGACCTGTTGCTTCTTCTAGGTGAGGACTGTCTCTTGGCCTGGAATTACAAATTTTGATCGTTGCAGTGAGAAGGCTTGGAAAAGAGTCACACAGGCTGCTTGAGACGGTGTTAATCGTGAGCGTTCGCAGAGAAGCGTGCAGGTGGAAAACTGTCTGCGAAGGAGTGCATTACTTTTCCAATTTCATAGCCGTAGTGTGCTAGGATCGGGATATTTATCCTTGTTGGCTAGGAGAGTTTGAAGGGCCCTATTATTAGGTTCTGAACCCTTTTCTTTTTGTCCTCTCCTGTCATAGCTTCAATCAATACTCACCTACCCTGGAAAACTTCGAAGGCAAGAACTCCCTCCTCGTGAAGTCTCCTCTGCAGCTTTTGCACCTTGTCTCTCTTGGAACTTTGTCTACCTCAGTGATTTTAGCAGTGTTGATTGATTCCAGCCTTGCTTACCCAAGTAGTAGAAATGCACCGAGAGGTTTTGAGTCTCGGTCTTGTGTCAGCATGACAGCCTAGTCGTTAGGATGAAAAATGTGGCAGGTGGATTCTAGTCCAGACCTAATGGGTGAAGTCTTGGACGCAGAACATGAGATGTGAAGCCTTGTGGTGCTGTGAAAATCTTATGCAGCTATATCCGCCTGGCCGTTGTTGTATTACTGCTGCTGTTCTCATCAATAATTTCCTGGGAGGAGAAGAGAAATTTTTTTAGCTATTTTAGCAAGGGGGAGGAGCAAGTTGCTTTTGAGTATGGACCGTTCTTTGTATGAACGACCTGAGAAGCGCGCCCGGCTAACGTTAGTTGAGGACAATGTTTCCTGGGTTGACATTTATGATGAAGTAAGTTCATTTCGCTTCGTTGTCGTTTGCTGTGAATGCTTGCGTTATGGTTAACAATGAAGCTGAGGGCAATTCGGCACTATTCGAACATTTGAACTCATAGTTTAATGGAATTATTTCCTATCAAGCAGATACAACAGTTAAGTCCTTGATTTTGCACATGCCATGCGAGAAATTCTAACAAAATAGGCTGTGATTTTTGCGTGTTGAGTAAGTGGGCTCGAGATGATCGGTTTGGTTCATGATTTGTCAAGTGGAATGCTGAATCTGACGAAGTAAACCTTTGTGGTTGATGATTGGTGTGAATGCATCTAGGAACATCAGGTAGCGGTTAACAGTGGACACTTCGAACAAATGGGATTGGGAAGAGGAGTACCACCAGCTGCTATGGGGAACAGTCCAGAATCCTACAATGGATATCCCAGGGTATACTCTCCAGTATGGCGGGACGATGATAAAGATGGGCACTACATGTTTGAGCTGGGAGAAAATATAACACCACGCTGTAATCACACCTTCAACCCTGGTCATAGTGTCCGTTACCACGATTTATCCTTCGTAATTCACAGGTTGCTCCTGCCTTACATTGCTATTGGAGGCGCAAATAATTTAAAGACATTAGACGCCTTTGCCAGTAAAGCTGGCTTCGGAGGTTTTAATACCTGATCACGTGGTGTCGTGGTGCCTGTGTGGTTGGGTTTTTTCTGTTTTTTTCTTTTTTTTTTGTGATACCGCAGACAAAATCATTAGCAAGAAGGGTGAAGGTATGTACTTTAACTTAATTTACTTAATTAATTTAAACAGACGCATTCATGTCTTGAAAGTAACAAATGGGTAAACATCGTGAAGACCAGATGGAAGGTTCTCATAGGTTGGAGTATAACGGTATTTGGTTGGATTCTTCAGGTACTTTTGGTAGGGTGTTGGAGTGTTGGGACAGGGAGGTCCAGGAGTATGTGGCTATCAAGGTCATTCGCAACGTTCAGAAGTACCGCGATGCTGCGATGATTGAAATTGATGTGCTGCGCACACTTGCCAAGAATGACAAATTAGGCACACGGTTCGCTTGTTTCCTATCTTTTCTGTTTCTTTTAAGAGTTATAGTTGACACAACCCTTGTCACTTGTGTATATATCGTTTCACTTGATGATTTTCGGCTTTGTTATCTCCTCTAGATCATCATCTTTCGGTTCTGTCTTCTGATGAGTATTTATTCGCTGATAACACTCACGTGACCATGGTCATTCATCACAGTGGACGTCATTGACGTTTACTTGATAGTATCGCCAATGCTAGTTCACGTTTCTTGGTTACACCTTGATAAAAGCCTGCTTGTGAACAGACGATGTGTGCAACTGAAGACTTGGTTTGACTATCGAAACCATGTCTGCATTGTAAGTTTCTCTACTTTGTTTCAAAGACGTGGTTGGGATAGTAGAGACGAAGTGATGTAATTTGAGAATATATTGTGTACTGTGTAGAGTGCTGAGTCCTGAGAGTTGTCGCCAGTAGGTGTTAGTCCCTCACACTGACGTGTATTGTGTGGATTCAGTTGCATGTAATTCTATAGTTCAAACAGAAAATAAAAATATTATTCTATGCTATAGTATGTTATATTATATTATATTCTTTGGTAACCAATTGATGTACTTCAAGGTTAAATAGTGAGGTTTACGAGGTTCACGTAGAACGATTTTCCATTGTTTTTATGTAAAAGAGCGTGGGGAGTTGGTGATTTTTGCATTGACTGATTAAGTTAGTGGGTTATTATCCTCTTTTTTATTCAGTTGATTGAAAACGATTATGGTGTGCAATGAAGTAACGCTCGAATCTTAGTTTCTGAATTAGTGCTCATGTGTCTTTTGGATAAACTGGTAACTATGCAGGTGTGTGAAAGGTTAGGGCCAAGTTTGTATGATTTTCTTCGAAAGAACAACTATCGACCATTTTTTGCTGATCTTGTTCGTGATTTTGGCCGCCAGTTATTGGAGTCTGTGGCGTGTAAGTCGTCCTAGTACATTGTGGCATATAACATTTAGCTTTCAACTACGTATCTGGGTGTGCAATCTCTCTCCCATGTTTCCTTTGTAATGTGGTATGATTGTGGTTTGTACAATGTCATGTATGTGCTGGTTGTTTTGCTGTAGCTCTCTAGTCTGCTGAACATTCATACCATTGTGATGTTAAACAAGTCTATTGTGTTTCTTCTGATCACTTGCGTAATTAATTTCGCTGTTATACTATCGTTTGTTGCAGATATGCATGAGCTAACCCTCATTCACACCGATCTTAAGCCTGAAAACATCCTATTGGTCTCTTCTGAGTACTTGAGGGTGCCAGATTACAAGGTATGCAAATTTTCCTGGAGCACGTTCTGAATTTAGGCACTGTAAATTAACCTTGTGGTATACTTTTTGTCCAGTTTCACATATGATTCCATCCTTAGAGCAGTGCTAAATCTCGCTTAAGACTGCAGATTCTGGCAGCGATAGCTTGTTAGGTGCTGCTATTGCTTTACTGATGTGTTAGTCATATTGGTGTCCATGAAGTTTAGAGTCGTTTTTGTTGGAAATCTCTCTTTGTTTTGATGCGGGTGCATTCTGTGATCTTTACAACATTTGCAGGCTTCAAATACGGGAAAACACTTTAAGCGGGTACCAAAAACAAGTGAGATTAAGCTTATTGACTTTGGTAGTGCGATCTTTGACAGCCATTATCACTGCTCAGTTGTCTCCACTCGCCATTATCGAGCACCAGAAGTTATTCTAGGTGAGTTTCGCATCACTTTTCATTCCCTTGAAGAGCTAATACTAGGGGCCCACGAGGGTGTTTTCGTTCTAGTCAAACTTTCTTTGGAGCATCTCTTGTTCGTCCCTAGAATTTGAGGGAACCAGAAGGCAACACTAGAGTGGTTTAATATAAAAAGCGAACTTGTCTCAGGACTTGGCTGGACGTATCCCTGCGACATATGGAGTGTCGGCTGCATACTCGTGGAACTCTGCTCGGTATGGGATTCCTATCGCCTTCCTTTCTCTTTTATATTCCTCTATTATCCAGTAATTCCCTATACTTTCTCTTCAAACTTGTAAATTTGAGAAAATCTTTGATGTCATAGTTTTTCATGCGAAGATGTTGAAACCAATGTAAATGTTTTTCAGTGGTTACAGTATTTGCTATGGCAGGGTGATGCATTGTTTCAGACTCACGAGAATTTGGAGCATTTGGCTATGATGGAACGAGTCTTAGGTCCTATTCCTGTACACATGATCAAGAGGGCAGAGTAAGTGACATGCGTCTGTTAATCTTTTCTTGGCTTCCTCTATTCTAATCTTGTGTGATGTGTATTGAGCCACCAAGTTTGAGTTCATGATTATGAGTAGACGTTTTCTATATTCTGTCTGAAAGTGTCCTTTGGTTTACGAGCACTTTCAACGACCTCTGCAGTCGACGACTAGAAAAGTACTTCAGATATGGAAGAGAGTTGAACTGGCCTGAAGGGACAGTATCAAGGGAGAGTATCCGAGCTGTGAGGAGGTTACCTAGCCTAAGGGTTAGTCCTACTACTTGAGCATCTTTCATGTTTTTATTTCTTGAAAGATATCCAGGTATGTTACGTATTACTGTTGTCTTTATGATAGATTGTGACAGAATGATTCGTTTTTATGTCAGAACTTGATCATGCGCTATGTAGACCACTCTGGGGGCCTTCTTATTGATCTGCTTCAAGGCTTGCTAAAGTTTGAACCATCAGAACGACTCACGGCTAAAGAAGCACTTAAGCACCCCTTCTTTAAAGAGTCAAATCGGCGGTTGTAAGACTCCTGCTATCGACTGGGAACCCAAACCCCAAAATCTGAGCAGCGTTGTTCCGTAGGATTGTCGAAGAATCGTCTTGTTTTAGCCGAAAGCTGCAGAGTAGGTAATGCCGAGTGACAGAACGTTCTTTCCATCGACAATAGTTTGGCATGGTTCGAAGAGGTGACTCCCACCGGACATGCTCCTTATTCAGTCACTTTCACTCTTTCCAGAATTGCTCTACGCAAAGGACGCATCCATTTGTGTGGGCGCTGTTCATTCCACATGTTTCGCAACCTGGGTTTCGCGTGTTAGGTGAAACTGTATATGTTTTTTTGAACTCTTATCCTCATGAGGGCTGAGGCGGTAGCTTGGTATCATTCGATCTCAAGGAAATGGAAGCATTTTCTCGAAGGCACCAAAACCTTATTGAGAGGATCTTGGTTACTTTATACATATTGTCTTCTGGTGGCCCTCGTCTCATATCATCATTGCCAATGAACAGGGCTAGGGTCAGGGTTTGGGTCCTCGCTTCAGCTGTATATTTTTATTCCCGACAGGTCTTAAGATTCTTCTCCTTCAATGACGAAGTATATTCGAAATCAGGTGACAGTCTTGCTTTTTCTTTCTTTCTTTCTTTTTTCTTTTTTCTTTTTAATATCAACCAAACAATATGAGAAACCTCAGCCAATTTCTGGTTTTGATTCTTCGGAGACTCTCCTAATTCATACTGGCTGTCTTGCGGCAGTGAATCTGAGCTTGGAGACAATATTATCTTAAAACGGCCACCCTTCGGCACGGGATAGTACTTCTGTTCGCTCAGTGAAGAAGGTCTATAAGCAGCAGCGGCCAGTGCAAACTCTTTACTTGCGACGCTAGATGAGTGCACGCCGACTGGGACAAATTGCGAACTGCCGTCCCAGATCGGATAGTTCTCTGTGACATTTTTCAGCAGCCTTATGTTCCCGAACCCAGTCCCTGGGTTCTAAGAGAAAATCTGGCGGGATAACGTTGTGTGTGAGGAGTTTTCGTTCAACCTTGTGCGAATAAAAAGTGGTGCCAGATTTAAGTTGGTAGCATGCAGAGTACTTATTCCTTTGACACACTTGCATCATTAACCTGAACGCTGTAGACTAGGAACTGATCTGCAGAGCTGATCTTCGTGCTCTTATCTATGATTTGCCACAAAGATTGCCCTACCTTTGACGTTCAAAACTTGGAAACAGCCATCTAATGAGTTTTACTCATGAAGTGGGTATTATTCTCGCCTATCAATTTTCTACATGTTCTCTCAATTGGTTCACCAAAAATGATGTTCTTTTCTTCAGCGATTTCTTAAAATTAACACGTGATTGTTTATTTTTAAGAAGCTCTTCTTATCCTGCCTAATAATTTTCCGCTATAATTCAAAACTTCAATTACAATGAACAACAAGTATCCAAAGTTTCTATGTGCGTAAGGTCCTTTCCTACTCCCTTGCATTGGACAAATCACAGATAGGTGAAAGGGCACTGCGAAGCCATAACCAGCAAGCGTAAGTTAATACTCGTCTTCTATTAACCGAAAATGAAATAAACGTTTAAAACTTAAATTTAACAATGAAGTTTAGGGCAGAAACATTGTGAACTAACTGCGACTGCCTCCAGAGGGGTGGCAATGTGGGCCTCGGATTGACCAATATGTAGCTTGTGGAGACTACTTTTGTGACATGTCACATATCCCATTATTATGCCACGTTTATGACATGTATTGCGTCGACACGTCGAACACGAAGTACTGTTCAGCATGTATTGTGTCAGCTCTTTATATGATACATCATTCACCATCAGCTGCGACTATAATCAAAAAACTGCAGACTCATGCTCACCTCACTAGTCTGCCATCTCCATGATTTAAATTCACCTCAGCATGTCGGGGGCAGAACAGTTACGCAGTGTACATTGGAGCTTGGAACTTGAGAGTTGCAAGATAAGAAGATGCTAACTTGCAGCAGAGAGTGATTTACAGAGGATCCAATCTTTCAGACTACTGAAACGTAATCCATGAACTTTGGCGACCGGAAACAGTGAATACAATATCATATTAAATATGAAGTGTCAGTTGCAAGATACTTTGGTGCATTGCCTACAAAACCATTTCAGCTAGAAAAACCTGTGATCCCAGCGCCTGGGCAGGAATGCGTCCTCCTGCAACACGGACTGATCTGCAAAGGAACTGCAATCAAACCCTGTTATATCCGAGGCGCTTGTCAAAAAGCTTGCGGATGAGGTATACTTGACCAAGGCTCACACCAATGAGGCATATGTATTCCCCTACGGTATAAGATATTAATCGCCTCTGGGTGCTTTCGTTTGCTGAATCACAATAAAATAAACAAACAAACAGTCAATAAGCTGCAACATTACAGACAAATATGGAATTATCCATTCCATCAAGGCTAGATATTTCATGATTGGCATAATGATTAACCTTAAAATCTTAATAAGAAATGACAACCCCTAATAAAATGCTAAATTTATCTTCATTCTCGAGGGAAGCTATCTTACAACATACACTAAGAACAATGCACCAGTTACAAAAGCTGATGAAAAGTTTGATACTCACTGATACGATGCCGACGGTCACGAGCTTTTAAGTAAATCAACTCTCCAGACACAGCTGCAAGAGCCTCTCGGACTCGTGCTATATTTACATTCAGAGGCTTCAAATGTTCTGCAGCACCCGTAGTTTTTAAGTGTCAAGAACCTTCATCAATCCAGTTCACATCAGCTATGCCTAGAGAGCCCTACGTCCTCTTCCTCCCGCAGCTGGAAACATGACATTTACATCATTCGTGGGCAATCCAAACACTACATTATCCGCTGAAATTTGGGTTTCAGAACTTCACCGTCTTTTGCAAGGTCCATAAGGCCATAGATGTGCCCAACGTGGATGTAGAACGAGATTGTCTCAGGAGTAGGCCCAGGGTTGTTGAAGCAGAACTTGTACATACCCCGCTGATGGGCTACGAACTCAAATTTCTCGCCTTCTTTAGCAGTGATACCAATAACCTTCGCGCCAATGGGACTCGTTACCTTCCATGAACACATCATTAGTTTTTAAAGCAGCTGCAGATAAATGATTTCAAAAGGTCGGATGGCCATGACTACATGAATTCAAGCCAGAGAAAGGACTTTTGGGTTTGGCTGCAAATCATATTTTCGACTCAACTGCAAAATTTACCTAACAATTTTTGTAAAAGAGCCTGTAGCTTTGACCTCTTTGTGGGTACAACGAAATGTCGGTCCAATTTTGGCAACGAAGTTGAGGTAAGACTTAGACATGGAGGACCTATCTGAATGACGCACAGAGAAAGAGACCGAAACTCAGGGAGATTGCAAGCCTAGCAGACACAGTATCGTCCATCGTATGACACAACAAGACGATGAAAGGCCATTGCGCAAAAAGAAACGATAATCCCACCCGGTTAAACCCTAAGTGCATCCGAATCACAAAGATCGGCTCTTCCAAGAAAAGAGGTGAACTCCATCGACGACGACAGATCTCACGCGCAATGCACTTATCATATGCCAGCAATCTCAGGAGCACGCAACGCATCCATCTCTCTCACACACACAGAGAGATGCACACAAGTAAAAATATACAATAAACATCGGGGTAGCACTGCACTACGCACCACAAGCTCCACGCCCGGCTCATCGGCCCACGCAAGTCCGTGATCGATCACCACGAAGCTACCAGAAACTGTGTCGCCCTCATAATCCACTTCCTCGTACACGCACTCCTGGTGCGTGATGGTGGTCATCAGCGCCTTGCCGCGATCCACACACCCTAACCCCACCAAAACCAACACCGCCAAAAATATCCACCATTGCCTCCGACTACCCGGCGCCATAGCCACCATATAAACTCCAAAACCCCCTAACACTTCACAACACCTCACACCGATCTATACCCAACTCCTCCGCAAGTCGAACTACCACCGAAAGCACACCAAAGCTCTGAAACCCTGAATGACACAATCGCTTCAAGCTCTTCTCCGCTCCTGGAAAACAAAAAAAATGAGAGCTGGGTTCGTGAAAAAAGTAGGTCAACGATCCTCGGTCGTCATGCAGCGAAGAACTGTGTCATCCTCAACCTCGGCAGCCTGTCATTTGCCGATTCCTGAAAAGGAGCTTGCTTGCTTGCTCTTCCACTACCGAGAGCTTCGTGGTTTTGTCCTCAGCAATCCACAGGACTTGTCACCGACACCCACATGAACCCCTCTGTAAACACAATTTCGCAGCAAGATGTGAGCTGCAGATCTTCATTATTTAAATAATACACAACCGTGAGTTGTCGGTGAATGGGTTAACGGGTTCAGACCTAAAAGCTGCTGGGAAGGACTGATTTTTGCTGCATCCTGTGACCCACTTGGCACTCGCAAATTGCCTCCTTTTTTACCGATTGTTTGCTGATTTTGGATTCTGAAGTTGTGATCAAGCTTGTGCGATCTATCACGCTGCATTTTGTATTGTGAAAATCTTGGTTGCTGTGTTTGAACTTAGTGAGTGTGGGATCATCAATCGGATATGTGAATATATATATATATATATATATATATGGGGGTGTGGTGTGTGAATATTATATATAATGTATTTGTTCATATATCTATTTATATATATTTCTTAAAAACTGTGTATGATTTGAGTTTAAAAATACCCAATGCTAAAGAGTTAAATAAACAAGTAGAATGAATTTTTAATCTTCAAATAAAATACAACAAATTAAAAACTTTAACAAGTTTTCTTCTATAAGTTGTATGAATCAAACTTGCCAGAATTCTTATGAAAAATCAATCATTCTTTCAATTTTGAAATTTATAAATAAAAGAAGTTATAAAGCATTTATTTTTACAGTATACTTTTTATTTGGTTTTGATTTATTTTTTAGAGTTGATATGTGTATTAGAAGAAGAAGAAGAAGGAAAAATAATAATGATGATGATTGTATTATTCTCAACTTCTATTTCTTAAGTTAGAATGTACCATTTATATTAAAGTTAGAGTTTTATTTTACCAAATCTAGCATATTTATTGTAACGTATTTTAAACAAGGTATCCTACGACCTCTTAATTCAATTTTTTTCTTGTACAAGTTAGTTTAAATGCTATGTTACTTAAACAAAAAACATGTAATAATAAATAAATAAATGTTAAACAAGATATAGATTTAAAGTTGAATATTTTGCAATCTTTTGTACACAATATTATTCCTTGAAGAAAAAAAACATATATATATATATATATATATATATATATTAAATTGTAAATAATTTCATGTACATGACATTGTCCAAGTATGGATTATAGAATGATATGCAATTACAAAACCTTATTACAAAAATATTGAAGGGACTGTGCATTGTGTTTTGGCAAAAAGGAGTAAAGCCACATGAAATGTAGGCAAATTCCCCAACATCGTTTATCCGTTTGATACCCTCCGGTGCCAAGGCCGGTTTTCACACCTGATCCGAGTACAATAGCCGAAGGGGTATAGACCAGGGCATGACCCTTCCTAATCTCAATACCTGCTACTTGAATGTGAATGGAACCCTCCATTCTACGAGTGCATTGAGATGGTTTTCGTCCCTTATGTGAGCTACAACCCGACGATTATCGTCCTCGTCCATGGTTATCGTTCGTTGTTGGGTTCCGAGGGGCTCGATGCTTTTGCAGCACGACAGACGTCTTTGGCAGATTTCGTGTTCGCTGCGGTGATATTCATGTAGATAATTGAATTGCTATTGCTTTTGATTGATCACGTTACGTCTACATTGGTCGCTCAAGATGCCATTGCTGCGACAAACTACTCTGGGTTGTTAGTGGTGTCACATATTTAGGGTTTTTTTTTTTCTGTCCAGTTTTTGTAACGTGGGCTCTGGGAATTTGCAGGGGGCTGCTTAGGGCCCTGCTCAGAAATTCTGGGCGGGGAACTCCTCGAGACGATGCCCCTTATGGGTGCATAGCTTGTGTGAATCGGATTCAGGCGTTTTCCGTTTGTCATCAGTGTCCGAGTGGCCAAGGTTTTGGCTTAGATCTTTCCTTTGCCCCATCCCACATTTTCAGGACCGAAGGTGTCTGGTTACGCGAGGACAGAAGGCGCATACAAAGATGTCCTGCAGTAAGCATGAGCTCCATCTACTCCTATGCACAATCACGTGAGTTTATGGTCGATTCTATGAGCATATTTCATGAATTATTGAATGAGATGAACTTGTCATATATGCTATCCAGAGTGGTGATCGTGAGATCACTCAAGCCTGAGTTGCTCTGAAATGGAGGCTCTAATCCACATCGTAGATGCTCGATGGTAGCGGATGTAGGATGCCACGATTAGCATTGTAGATTCTGTCGGTTGTAGACTTGAATTACAGTCTTCCAGTGATTTACGTCTTTATTTAGGAAACATGGTTCAACTAGTTTGAAGAATGTGGCGCCAGTTCTTCGGCATATTCTTTCACGATTCAGAAGCAACTCTTCCACCTGTCGTGCAATAGTTTTCAGGGATGGAGGGGTTGTAGTTTCAGTAGATTGTTGGTTTCAGGTGGAAGATAGCCTCGAGCATTGCGAACATGATTTTCAAATTTGCGTTTGCTACCCGGGTGCGGGAAATTGTACGAGTATTGCGAGGACTTCCACCCGACCAGGCTGTTCGTGACCGTACTGTTGCTATCAATGAGCAACTTGCCCGGGTATGACCTGTCTCTCCAACCATAGTTTCTTGCACAATAATATCGAAGAATTTGGGACAGATGCCTCATTCTGCAGTTAGGGTAGCAAACTTGAAGTGCACTGGTTGTTTGTGCTTGTTAATTAGTCCAAGAATGGGTGCTCATATTGTAATGGGTGAAGCTTCGAGCAACCAGGATAGCACAGGAGAAAGTTCGCGAGGAAGCGGCTCTGCGAGAGGTTCAGTTTGTAGTTGAGGAGATGGAGCGGCTCAAGGAGAGCTTGACGGCAGCGGTATGTATTACCTTTTCATTGCTGTTCAATATATGAACTAATCTGAAAGGTCCTTGGTTTGTATTTTTCTTCGGGTTTGGAGGTATTAAACTCCCAAGCATATTTGTTGTATTTCTGTTATGGTGCAGGAGGAAGCAGCTGTTGAGTTCGTAAATCAGATAGGCGACCATGCGCAGGCACAACTAGAGGAGGAGTGGGAGCAGAAGGCCAAGACGTTGGTGGCTGAGTTCATGGCGGAGGAACTCCCTCTACCACGTGAATCAACGCCCTGCAAAGCTGACGTTCCTGTTCCATCCCTTGCACAGGAGGGCTCTCCAGTCTCCAACACCAGAACCACCGTGGTTGAAACAAACGTTACACCTTAAAGCTGGATTCTAAGCTTCTTTCAGAGCTTCATCAACTCTATCGTTATCCTCAGCACCTCCATTGGATACGATTTGTTTCCATCCTTGGAAGATCTTTAGGGTCTTATAGCACATGAGCTGGGCATATCAGAGGAGATTAAGCCTTTGTACTCACAATGGCTGATAGTGAGCTCACCTATTTGCTTTCAGCCTCTGTTAGTCATTCACATGTTCATGTTCATGTTCAGGACAGAGACGTTATATACCATTCAACTTCACCGATTAACTGGTTAAGTAAAGTACACTGTGCTGATCTCGCCCACCGTCGCCAAATTCTATTTTGTGATAGAATGTCTACATGCGTGGCAGTCAGTGATGTCAATGCCGGTTGTCATGCCACTTTGGAATTTGGAGCATTTGCACTACAACAGAAGACGGATTTTATTCAGCGGCCACCACTTTTCGTCAATGCAGCGAAATTTAGAGTTCAGGAGTAACAAGTGAAGCCAATCCATTATCAATTAGTGCAATTTTGTAGATAATGGTCAGTAAAATTGTGCTGCTAATACAGAATATGGCTACGTGACTTATGAATACGCGATGTCGTTAATGTTAAAATTAATCTCAACATCCTAACCAGTATCATATAGCTCAAAGGGAATAGCATTCAATCCTACAGAAGTTCTCTCCCCTATAATCACCCCAGCAGTGAAACGTAGTCTTAATTAGACAGACAGAGTTGACGGGAGCATAGTCGTGAACTTCCTCAACGAATGAGCAGTTCTATCAACACTGGAGCACCGGACATCAGTGCGAAAGTGCCCTTAGATACCCTTTGGGCTTCGAGAAAGACCACCCCAGAAACAAACCAGGCGGAACCAGTGCGGTTGTACGCCCAGTTTATCAGCACGGCCCACACCATCTCTCTCCTTGGTTCAATCTTGGGCAGAATTGGAACAACATTTCCTGGTTCTAGGGTTTGTGGGTGAGCTTGTTTCTGTCTTTTGGCTTTGTCGCTGAGCGCGACGAAGAGAAACTAGTGTCTGTGTTGGTGGAGTAGTAGAGGGGGCGCCATGTTGAGGTCTCAGCACCTGTTGCGGAGGTCCGTAGCCCTGGCGCGGGCCGCTGCCGGAACATCCGAGCACCCTGCGGTGCGAGCCGTGCGGTCGTTTGCGGGCAAGGCAGAGGCAGCGGAGCAGCATGTGGAGGTACCATTGCCCATGTATGGAGTCGCTGGGAAGTATGCGTCGGCGTTGTACGTGACTGCAGTGCGCAGCAACGTGCTGGATCCTGTTGAAACGGAGTTGCAGCAGGTGATTGGGGCTGCGGAGCAGAACCCTGTGTTCGCCGATTTTCTGAAGGACCCCTCTGTGTCGAAGACTATGCGTATGAAGGCGATGGAGGAGATCTTTGGACAGACGAAGTTTTCGAACGTCACGAAGAATTTTCTAGCAGTGTTGGCCGAGAACGGGAGGTTGGCGCAGTTGCAGCGGATTTCGGGGTGCTACTCGGAGTTGTTGCACGCACACCGGGGAGAGGTGCAAGCGCTGGTGACGGCCGCACTGCAGCTGAGTCCTGCGGAGCTTGAGGACATCAAGAACGCATTGAAGGGGTACTTGAAGCCTGGGCAGACCTTGAAGGTGGAGCAGAAGGTAGACAGGAGCATAATTGGGGGAATCGTAGTGGATATTCAGGACAAGCACATCGACCTGTCGATTGACACGAAGATCAAGCAGATGGAGAAGCTGTTGGCGGAGGCCATCTGAGGCAATCAAGGGAGTAGAAAAGTTGATGTTTAGAACAGGAATTCGACATTGTGCTTTTGGCAATTTGAGCAGTTTCTTGTGCGCAAAGCGTGACCTGTTGAATGAGAAACGGCGAATTCAAGATTCGTACTTGAGATGCGCCGTGTTACCTTTGGACTTGTGCCAATAGTACTGGGACATTCTGGTTGTTGCGATGGTGGATTACTGAGATTGTAAATAAATGCACAGACCCCATTCTGGGCCCAATAAAAGATTACTAGGATCATATGAGGCTGCGTTTAAGGGTCTTGAGATGCACTTTATGTTTTCCTAGAGAGAAAATGGTGGTTGAGAGGGTTTTGATCTAAGAATCTAGAGATCAATCCTGCGAAATTAGGGTAGTCAAGGTTGCGTTAGAGATCAGAAACACTGGTGATATATTCTTTTCCTTCAAGTTTCACCTCCGAGCAGGTTGATTGTGGCAAAATTTATATGCGTTGTGGGGATTGCTCAGGTCGTTGGTACGAAGATCACAGTTACACTGGGTCTAGATGATAGCGGGAGGTAATAGGAATGCATGAAATCCAATTTGAAGCTCCGTGTGATCGTTTTTGTTGCCGTATGACCAGTAGAGATTTTCCTCAACACGAAATTGCCAGAAACTTTGATAGAGGAACCGTGTGTGTGTGTTTTCTTTTTGAATGTGAACAGTGAAATATTAGCCAGTTTGTCATTTAAGTTTGGGGTAAGAATTATAGTAATTTTGCCGTAATGAACTTTAGATTTATTGATCAAGTTTGCACATTGCACACATTTATGGACCTCAAAGCCATGAATTCCTGCAATGAGTGGTTAACGACGCTATATTTGAAACACTAACTATCAGAAACCTTCGAATTTGAATCATATAACAATGAACAGTAAATGATAAAATATGGTTCAATTGTATCAATTTTAATTAATGTCGTTTACGATAATTAGCAAGATAAAACTACTTTCTTTCTATACACCTAAAAATATGTAATGTCTCCAAGATTACATATCTACTGGAGTTTATTAATTAAATCTTCATTTATTTTTATTGCTAAAATTATTATATTAAGATGATTGTGTAATACACTCATGTATTGTTTAAATAAAGGTAAATAAGTAGAAAGAAGTAGAATTAATCAGATGTATAAATTTTGTAGACAAATCTTTGAATTGTATTCCTTAAATAAATTCTATCTAATGTATTATTGTCCACAAGGCTCAAGTTTGAACAACTCTTTATTTGCTCTTTGCTTGTTGTCTAATCTATATATATATATATATATATATATATATTAAAATTTGAAGCAATTAGTATGTGTTGCAAAACTATTGGTAAGAACATTTTCAAATTTATATTTCAAATTTGATTTTAAATTGCAAAGATTGCCTATGGTCTTTTTTAGAGCATATTTTTCAAATATTTTAATATTTTTTTGTAGATTTATTCTCAACAACTATGTTAATATGCTTCTTTATTTTTTGTAGATTACACGTTAGAGATTTTTAGACTTTGTTAAATTATTAATTTGAATGAATATTGATTTCAAATATTCATCCCTTTCAATTCTCTATTCTAGAGGTTGATTCTTTGTGGCCATAGAAACTTGCTGAACAAATAATATCTTCCTCAAGAATAATGAAAAAATCCCAAAAATAAATTAGAACTATATCTACTTCTAGACATGTCATGTGGCCATAGAAACTTTTTATAGAGGTTTTTTATATTTAAAAAGTTGTAAAAAAAATGTACTATAATTTGAATTCTTGGCTAACAAGCTTCGTGGTCCTTAGAAAGCTTGTACATAGCATTTTTCTTGGCTATTATATATAAAGGCAAGATTGCAACCATGTTCAGTTTTGTAATCTTGTCTTAGTTTAAGACTCTAATTTTTTATACTTAATAATTGCAATTATAGTTTATTTTTGTAATATATATATGTGTGTGTGTGTGTTTTCTTTCTTTATTTTTTGTAATGCAAGAGTATATTATCTCTTTAAAAAAATATGAACTTATGATCTTAACTATTGTTTTGATATATATATATATATATATATATATATAACCAAAATATTGTTTAATGTTAATATCAATTCTTATGATATAAGCACAAATGCTTCTATATTAAACACAAAAATAATAATTCTTACTATTTTTACAAAACTTACGAATATGTAACCTAGAGCTATGTGGCTAATTTAATATCAATATATAAATAAAGTATGTAAAAGTTCTTTTGACAGCAAAGATCACACATTGCTAACCTTTCTATTTACATTGGTAATTAAAAAAAAAAAATTAAATAATTAATAAAAATTTAAAACAATTGTGTGAAGGTATGCATCATAGTTGTAAAACGATGGAAGGGAAAAAAATCAGAATAAAAAAGGATGGTGTCATGACTATATATATATATATATATATATAAATACATACATACAAACGAAATAATGCCTTTCCACTACTTATTACATATTTTACTACTTATGAAAAATTTATTACATACTTAATGAATTGACATCTTGTTACACAACTTGCTTTTCACCAAGCGTTTTCTTGTTCCGGTGCAGTAATGTGTAAACTTGCCCTTGCGTAGGTGTCGAAGCTTAGAAATGCTGGTTTTAGGTTATTCGATAATAGAGATGTTGAGAGAGGCTTGCAAGAAATCGGAGCAGGGACGTAATGCACGCAGTTGGGACATGAATTAGGCGATTACAAACAAAGGTTACATTTAGGATTGTTTGTGATTTCTTCGCGGTTCCTGCAGTGATCAGATTTGTGTGGGGCAGCAAGTCATTGCGTCCATCCTTCCATATTCCTGTTACGGATGGCAGAGAATTAGTGGTGAAGTGTGATGCAGACACAGACTGCTCTCGCGGGGACCTGAGCGATAAATTGTTCTTCTCGTTGAAGGCTCGGTGGCCATGGCGGATGTTCAGCCTGGGGGTCGTAGTCCCAAGACTTCTGGATTGTCTTGAGATTGTTCTGGATTCCGCTGGTTACCTTTAAAGCTTCTTTTGAAGCATGTGTAGTTTTTTTTTTCTATTTCAAGTATGATCTTTGCGTGCGGGCGCTATGATGTCTTAATGGCCGTTTGTAACTCAATGAGGCTAGCTCCTCATTGAAGAGTCTTTGAACTTTTGCTATAGACATTTCAAGGCCACAATGAGGCTAAAATGCCATGGAGTTGTTAGATATCTTAAGAGCCTTCTACCTGTTCCGCACCTTGATTGCTTTGCTGACGAATTATTTAGCTGCGATGGAACCAAGTCTTTCGATAAGGTTTTGCCATTGGAGATACTTGCTACTCATTTGCGATCTTCCGACACAAGAGTCTATGTGGCTGAAGAAATTGATATCATGTGCCCAAGTAGGTTAGCAGAGCAGTTCATAGGTTACCTACTTCCTCAATCAATACCTAGCTGCGTCCTCGGTGGCGTTACAGATTTGGTTTCTCCATCGAAAGCATGTGCATGGTTCGAAGACATGGAAATAGATTCTCTGATCGTGACGAGAGAAATCGAACCGTACATGCTAGACCTGCTTGAGGTTTGGCGGTTCAATGAGAGTCTGAGCCTGGATATTTTGCAAAATTATATTCATTTCACCAAGGACTTTGAGTGCCTCAAATTGGTAAGTAGCACCAAACAGCAGGTTCGACGATTCCTGTTTTACAAGCTTAATTTGCAAATTTTTCATTGGTGTTAATTCAAAAAATTCTATTAGACTATTTACCGTCTAAGAGATAGGGGATCTGGAGTGTCAAATTAATTAAAACAGTTGCACATTCCATTGTTCATAGCTATTGAGGGTTCTCTGAGCTTCAATCTGACCTGAGGTGATACCGTGACGAATCCATAAGTTGACTGCGCCAAGTTGGTGAAGATGCGTAAACATGCATCAATTTAGTAAGCACTTGGAATATTCTTTGTTTGATGACCTTTGCTGGTATCTTTTGCCTATGGCAACACAGGTTCAGTACGTGATCGAACCGGGGCAAAACGCTACTCCTACTGTACGTGATGAAGACTGTAATCAGGGGAGTGTTATGCATGATATGCTGGCTGATGCAGGTTGCAATTTGAAGGAAACGAAAACCATGCATAATAATACTGTAGAAGCTTCTGAACTCAAACCCCTTGACCAAGAGTCGCTTCTGGAGCAGTATTCTGGTCAAATCATTCGCAATAGGGAATTGAAGGATAATGCTAAGAACCACGCTGAAGCAGTTGATTCCGAATCCCACATCGAGCTTTTAACCGAACTTCTACACTTTGACCCCAGGGCTTTCCTATTGGACAAAATGAGTATTAAGCCAAATATTGAACACAACGAACTTCAGTCTGCTATTTCGCCCTCATGTACAGCCCGTTGTTTGAGTTTGTTGGACGAGAACTCAGTTGACGCGGACACAGAAGCTGTTACCAAACACCCTACCATAAATACAGTGAAAGTTCTGTTTGAACTTCCAGAAGTTCTTGAGGAAGAATTTCTGATCACGTCTTATACCTTATATCTTGGAGCTTACGTTACCATATTAATGAAGCCGCTTTTCATTGAACTTGAGGAATTGGATTCCCGAGAGACTCCTATTCAGGGTTTTGAAAGATTATTAGTTCTTCCTGAGTTAACATTAGATCCCTCTAGCTTTCATTTGCTGCCAGAACCTTCTTTCATTCCAGGATATGAAGCACATTTGAGTGAAGACGTGTTTAAGAATCTTGTCCGAGCAAAAGCCTCACCAACTGCCACATCTGCTAGCGATTGCTTGTATCTGGATTGGCATTTGTCTCAAATGGGACATTGTAACAATTATAAATGCTTCCATCTCCAGAGGAGATTGGTTGAAAATGAGTTTCGATTGACAGTTCCTGGAAATTTAAATCTAGGAAAAAGAATCCCTGACCATCAGCTATTACCAATGCTCATTTCGGATGACGACTCTAAGTCTTCGTGTGAAGGTGATACAGAGTGTTGTTACAACACCGTGGAGGAGAATTCTTCGGCTAATTTAAATTCTTCCGCATCAGACTCCATGCTCAATTCCAACAGTTTTGTGTACACAGCTGCTAAAGCAGTAAACAATTATCACTCGGATCAAGCAGTATTGACGGAAGAAAGGAACGACTCGATTCCAGTAAGAGTCCATCAGATTCTTCAAGCAGGATTCAGTCCTACTGCGATGGATAGTGTCCTCACATTTATGAAACATGCCAGGCAGGGGGCTCCATCAAGAGACACAAAATGGATGCAATTACAAGAAAACCTTGACTTCAAGGAGGTAAACACTGTCCACTGAAATTATTTACATTAAACTATTACAGGGCACAGTAACTCATAGCATCGTGCGCTGTTCTCTTTCTGGATTTGTTATGTCCGGCTGTCATTCAACACTGATAATGTAGAACATTGAAAGCTATGAATGTATAATTACTCTTCTTATACAGAATCATCAAGGCTCATGCAACACCAAAGACCAATCCCGCAATTCCAACTTGTTTTATGAAGATGTCTTGAAATCTACATCAGGTGAGAAGATCTCCGCACCAAATCCATCGTGCTCTTCAGGACTGGATGCAGCTTCGAGTTACGATCTCAAAACCTCCGACCATATTCAGCGTGAATCACAAATGCCAATATCTACTCCTTTGTGCTCCCCCAAAGATTCACTTAAAAATGGGATCAAATCAGCAACCCCTCTTCAAACAACGCTTGCAGATCAGTTGAACACTCTGCAATCGGAAGTGGAAAATCTAGTACAGTCGGCGGAAGAACATGGACCTCATATCATAATCGTCGTAAATGTTCTACAACAGAACACGTCAATACTTTTGCAAAGAAGAAATTCGTACCAGAAAATCCTTGGTCTTGAAAATGAAGACTTACAAGTTGTGGAGAGGGAGATGAATCTCCCTGTGGATCTCTTGCTGGATCCATCAACATGCTTGACCATTTACACTGAGGAGAAGCTGCGCTCATATATTCGCAGTTCTGAAGTCACCGACGAGTTATTTTCGTGTGCTGTGGATAGCGTTGTTAATTGCCATATGAAGATCCTCAGCTTATCTTTTCAGAGATGGTTTATGGTAAGTCTATCTCTAATCCTTTCTAAGTAAATGATAGACATTAATTTTGATTGGGATAGTACTTGGTTCCACATCACCCAATTTGTCATTGTTTCTAATTTGTCAGTTGTTGTCCCTGTGACAATATTCTGCATGATACACGATTCATCGAGTGCTTGGAATATCTGTGCGGTGGTCATACATGGTGAAGCTAAGGTCGAAAGTGTTTGTTACCTAATGTTCAGATTTTTGAAGGAGGTCTGGAATTCAATTCGGCTATTCTTCGTATCATGAACAAGCTCTACAAAGATTCTGCTGGATTCCAGATACATGCGGAAGGTTTCATCTCTAAAAATCCATTAGACACAGATTCTCTGGTCCTGAGCTGCATTAAAGGCATCTGGAAAATGTCTAAGAGATCCTTCGATTCACCGATGTCCGAAGACCTGACTGAAGTTGAATCCTTTCTGACAAACTTCCCATCACTCAATCCGCTATCTTCACACGCAATACTGTGCCTTAATATTCCTATCGCTACATTCATTTCATGGCCACTCGAAAAACAAATTTTCGCTCTCCATGACTTCAACATACGAGAAGAAAGCCTGGAATTGTTACAAACTCAGTTTTTGAGCTTGCATGGAAAGTTGGAGGTTGCAACTCAGCAAGGGCTTTTAAGCGCGTGTCCATGGCCAGCTGCGTCGGATATTGTTGCTTCGGAGGTTGAAAGCCATGGCAATGATGGTTTTATGTTCTTCCCACCCGCGTCGGAGATTGTGAACTGCGAGGTTGACGAGGACCGTCACACTGTGGCTTCAAGAGAGAGATGTAGTGATCTGTATTCCCCCAGTCCCCGCGATTCTATCTTACTTCATCCTAAAATAAAGCAGATGCGAAGTTGCTTCTTAAGTGGCGAACGTCTGTCAACTCATAAACTTGCACAACGACCAAGTTACGTCGAAGACAAACGTGACTGCACTAATCCAAATGATGTGCATGACATTTCACATCGATGGATTAGAAAACGTGAAAGAGATATTGATAAGAATAAGAATTGCTCAGAACTGGAGTCCGAACTTCTCTGTAACCCACTCAAAGTTCCAAATCAAAAGTTGTACAATGAACGGTCCCCCATCAACAAGGTACCTACTTCGGGAAAATCTACAGCTGAAGCATTCAGCTCAAATTACCGAGGTCACGCCACCGATGAACTCCTGTTGTTCCCAATGCGAAAGAGACTTTTTTTGGATCTCCAAGGGGGGGTTACTTCTGCATCGCAATCACAGAACAAGAAGTTGAAACCAACATCCTCAACTAACCCTCTCATGAGTATCAGACCCTCTTCTCAGAGGCACGACTCGTTGAATACCTTGAGACAGTCTTGTATCAAATTCAACTCCCCTTTCAGACGCTCGGTTTGAGAAACTGCACAAAGATACCTGGGCCAGCCACTCACTACGTTCCCAAAAAATCACTAGAATTGTAGTGTGAAAGCTTCACCGACATTCTAAATATCTAATAGCAATGCTGCTCGTGACATGTCTTCAAATCCTATTTTAAGCTTAGGCGTAGGGTTTCAGGGTGAAATTTGCATCCTCTAGTAAACTTGCATATTGTGATCACTTGATTGGTCATGTGGAAAGTGCAAGATTGGACTCGATTTGTTCCTGCGTATTTTAACACGTGAGAACATGTTGAAGGTAAATTGCGCAACGGGAGAAGAATCTTCAAAAAGAGGTGAGTTTGGTATGTCACATGTTACTCCATCGACTTTGAAAATATGGTCTGAGATTCTGTTATACTGTCTACGGTTGTCTATTTCTGCAACCCTTAGTCATGTGAGCAAAAGCCACTGATCCAACTTGAAGCATCCCGCTTCTGAATTAATTTCATCTTCATCCTCTATCTCTGATATCCAAGAGAAAATGTTCAATATCACTCATTTTTGTAGGTCCTTATATTTTGAAGTAATCAGCACGAACTTTCTCTTTCAGGTATTATTTCAGACGAAGTTCAGTCTAACTGATTTGGCAAAGCACAAAGGACGTTCTCGATGTCCTAGCCACCTCTCACGCATGAGATGCCCATTAAAAGAGGCCCGCTCAGCATGACAAAAGATTTTACTGCTGTTACTTACGGTCTTAATATTCCGCCAGAATATGAATGATATACTTCATTGCTTTGAGTGACAGAGATAAATGTGTTGGAACTGTTTACAATCTTCACAAGAGAACATAGAAAAGTTATGGAGGCACATCGATCTGGAGAACGGAATCAATTAACAGCATACAAACTAACGCAACAATGCAAGGTGATGTTTGATTGTCAATTCTGAGCTTAAGGGGGTGGAGATCATAGATACAAGAAGCCGGTTTTGGGAACCGCATATTCAAAAGTTTAGGGGATCGGCCAGTGCCAGAGGAACAAGATTAGAAAACAAGATGCTGAGAGGGGCGTGTAGAAATGTAGTCAATTGATCAGGAACAGTCGGGTTGTGCACGAACTGGTCATGGAAAGGAATCCGAAGCAGGGTAAGTTGGAGACGGACCAGCTGCTTAGGTCTGCGGTCTGTTAATGCTTCTGAACATATGATTATGTTTTTGGCGTGTTTTTTAATCAATTTCTTCTACGCCATTGGCTGCAGTTTATATCAATGTCTATTGTCGTGATAATGCCTGACATGTATTGGCTACTGCGACATATTTTCTGATATAATTAGATCGAGGAAGTCGCTAACGATGGTTCAAAGTTGAGAAATATTTTTGCTTCTCGGCCCACTTAATGCTGCTTGTAAAAGGCTATGCCAAAACTTATGGAAGAAAAAGGTGACAGAAATCCCTTCGTTTGTCAATTCGTTCGCATTCCTTCGGTACGATGATGTTAACAGCAAATAAGCACGTGTTACAGGAGTTGCAGGTGGATCTGGACATTCTTGTGAGCTATTTGTCGAAAGGATGTTATTGCGATATTGCTTGTTTACTTTGTTAAGATATTGCGTAGGAAGTTTTTATGACGTTTTTAAATATTTATTTAAATCACTATTGAAAATGATGTTTAAAATTTCGATGGAATATATTAGAGGACACTTAGGATTGGAATCACCAAGGTTGAAGCAGAGCAAGTTAGTTGGAATCTAAGTTGTTAGCCTTATAAGATATCTAAATTAAAAATAAAAAAATCTACCTATTTATATATATATATATATATATATATATGATATTGAAAGCTGTAAATTTTAAAATAATTATAATTAACTTTCATCTATACAAAATAATGTATAATGGTCTAAAAAAATATTAACTTGATAAAAAAAAACTATTAATTGTCATAATCAAATAAATTGTAGAATAAGTGATTTTTCATTATAGATCAACAAAAATATTATGATATATTTAGTCATTAAATAAATATTACATCATTATAAATATAAAAAATTATATATTATTATCTTTTATCTTTTTTATTTTTTATTGAATAAAAATCTAGTAACCAAATTGTGACTAATTTTATTATGTGTGATTGCTTTATTATATTTCTTCCACTTTTTTTATATTTTTTCTTCATTAATTAATTATTTATTTATTTCTCCTTTATACTACCAATTACAAGCTACTTTTAATTAAAGCTCTCTTATAATTTGGATTTAAGGGTGAATTTTGCCCTTATATTGAATCAATTCTTTTAGTTCAATACTATTGCAAGTAATGTCAATCATTGTCTAAAGGTGGAGTAAGGGCACATACTTCTTTCTTCTATTTTGCAAGCATCATTATCTCATTGCTATCTTTTAGATTGAGATTTTCTTTTAGATTGAGATTCTCCTTTGCATCCAACAATGATATTTTGTTGTGCCACTTCGGATCCAATTATGCCTTGTCATTATTAGGACAAGGAGACAAGAAGAGGGTTTTTATACTACCATTTGTCAATTCCTTGAGGACCTCTTGTATCTTAGTTGCTTAACTCACAAAATTGGCTGAGGTTTTGATCATGCAATATATCAACATGGATACTTGTTGTTTTAAGGTTTGGTCCTAGAATTGTGCCTTAATAATCAGCTCTAATTTAATAGTATAAAAAGCACAATCTTTTCTAATTTATATTGTTATATGGTAGCAAAGATGGCTTAGATATTGAAATAGTGGATTTCTTCTTTGACTTGTTATTATTCTTTCTTCAATGCTTTCACTTATGTTTCTAATATCATCACTTTCTTTAGACTTTCTATTGCCTTGACTATTAAATTGAAAATCCAAGTTATATTCTTAGATGTATGAATTAAGGTCACCATATAAATTAGTATCTTAAACAAATTGAAATAATTGTATAAAAAATAATCTAAACTCATATAAATGGTGTCAAATAACTTAATTGAAGTTGGCACTAAAAAGTCTAATTAAGTCTGCTTTGTTTTTTTCTTTAATTTGGATCATGGAATAACCTCTTCTTTTCTATGTTTCAAGGACAATACTATTCCTTATATTTGCTTTGTCCTTATAGTTTCTTTATCTTTCTATTAGGTATCTTTATCTTTATGCTTTAATAGATTGATTTCTTAGAATTGTCAAGTTATTTCTTCTTGTATCTATTCTTCTTCTTTCAACAAAATGAGTAGACGATTGGCTTGAGACAAGTGATAAATATAAGGCAAGATGGATGATATTTGGTTCTTATGTATGTTGATTATGGATTGTAGAATCAAGTCAAGATTATAGAAATAATTTTATCTACTTCAAACCTTACATCTTGATAATGACTCTTGTCAAAATTTATCTTCAAGTCTTATTGATTCACTTTTAGTGGTTAAGATGAATGTTACTTGGAATTTTGAGGTTACTTACAAATATGGAACATGACCTTGTAACGTTAGACTTAACACACATAATTATTGAAAAAATAAAAAATAAAAATAAAAATGTATTGTTTAGTCAAAATTACATGGACTTGGGCCCAATACTAGCTTGATTTTTGGTACTATTACATGGGACCTACTATGTATTATGCTACTTTTCAGCTATTCATTAAGTAATTTTTCCAATCTTTAAATATTCGTCTACCTTACTACATCTCCATTAATTTTGATAGCTTCATAATGGTGCCTTATTTCTTTGCTTACTACTGCTTTGATATTGTGCCATTGAAATATTTTAATAGATATCATCCGTAGCAAGTACATGCTTTTTTAACAAGTAATATCATTGTAATTGGATGTAATTACTTTAAATGGATAACATTTTATCTCCTAAGATATCTCACATCATGTCCTTAAGATGTTTAGAATATACAAAAAAATTTGAGTTAGGATTATACATTTAGGAATACACACTAGGAAATAATTCTTATCCATTGTATAATTTTTGTATTGCTATGGCAAATCCATAATATATACAATAGTGATTGTACTAGGTTTTTTTTATTTATATTGATAGACATCAAAAATCAAGTTGCATATAGATTTTGTATTAACTAAATAATCTACCATGTTGATTTAAATAATTTTTTTTTTTTTAAAGTATAGTTGTTTAAAAAAATATTTTAAGATTATTCATTGTGCCTTTCTTATATCATCATCATTATCAATCTTATCATCGAAGCCACTATTATATGGGTTGTTGTTATTGAACTTGTACTTAATAGCCAGATCCACAAGTTGTATTCTATGCCATACTATTAACATTGGTTGATAGCCACAAGCATCAAATAAATCAAACTTGTAGTTCAATACACTATCAAGGACTTGTAATTGATCCTTGCAACTGATCATGCATGCAAGAGATACATAAAGTGAATTTGTATTATTGTTTAATTGTTCAAGATGCAGGATTGCATGAGTGGCTAATAGTAAGTTAAATACCATACATTTTTTTTATCACTATGGAATTCCATAGTGATAAAAAATTCCATAGTGATAAAAAATTCTTTGACTTAGATTTGGATGGCATTTTTCAAAGCTTTGAAGGTTCCATATTTATATTGAATCATTTAAATTTTGTCTTCCAACTTGTGACATTCAAGTACACAGATAATTTTGTCTTCCAACTTTTGTAATCATCTCTTATGTTTGGATGCTTGTGATGACATGGCATTGCATAGCTAGATTATATTCTAGTTCAATTTATTATTGTATAATTGTAACATTGTGTTGAGCTTGTAATATTCATGAATTATATCATAAGCGTAGTTTTTGCAGTGCTATAACCTTGTAGTTTTTTTATTGGCCAATGCTACCAATTTCTATATAGTATGGCATAGGATTTTTTGTTGCAACCAAGTTTCTTAGATTACTACTTTTTAGACTATTTTTTTAAAATGTATTGTAAATCAACCACAATGGTGCAGACATTAACATTGGTATAGAATTTCTCCTATTTAAATTCCTCGTCATACTACTTTTATAGGTGCTTGCTATTAGCATCCTCTTTTGTATTTCTTTGCATGTCCTTGATCAATCTTTCATGTTGTATACATCTAAACTTGATGATATAATATTGACACTCAGTTATATATACTAAAAAAAAAAATAATGATAGTGTAAGAATGTTGGTCTTTTTGAAGATATCTCAATTTTCAATTAGAAAGGCATTGTTGACGATCATATCCTAGTTATTGTATCTCCATCATCTACTAGGAGATAAATATCTACTATGATGTTTGAAATGATATTGACTTGCTTACAAAAAAATATTAAAAAAAATATACCATAAATAAATATGTATTCTTTGATATTGCATTAGATCATAACTGTATGTATATTATATTTGTCGACTACATTAGTTTTATTGTTAACAACACCATTGTGGTTATGATATAGCTACTCACATTAGAGCTCATAGTTGATGATTTCCTAAAAGTTAAATCCAAACATCACCTTGAGATAACTGATATTTGATAAAATCTCTTCACTCTTGACTAAGCTCAAGTATTGATTGTATGAGGATTTGCACAATGCCATATTTTGTAAAAACTCTCCATACTACTTTTCATTAATGGCAAATAAGAGCTGACAATAATAAATCTCTAAACCTGTAGTATTGATCTTCTTATTGTCATGCATGTCATTCCTTGCTTGTATCTTGGATATAATAAAGAATTATATATAGGAGCGAGATGCCATTCTAATGGAAGAAGAAAACATTAAAGACAAAGTCAAAAAACAAGAAGGTAAAGAGACAAGAAGATGTGAGTATAAGATAGTAAGATGAATAGATAATAACATGGTGATTTGTTATTAAGAGATGTTTGTATAAAGAATTACATTGATATAAAGGTTTTCAAATGTTGTCATAATGGCTACCATTTTTATCATAGATAAGATGAATTCTTTTTTAATTATATTTTATTTAAATAATGAGGTAGTGATGTAGGCGACCACAATCTTAAAAGAATGTATAAGATGCAACTCAAAATTCTAATTGTATGATGATTTTGAATTGTCATTGTTTTTGAGGATTTGACTAATGTCTTTAAAGAAGGTAGTTTACGGACATATAAGAATCAAGTTTATAAGTTTTTACTAACAAAATTTATTTGTACTTACAATAGAAGTATATAGATTGTAGTTATCTTGATTGATCAATAAAACTATATTATTGAGTAGCGTAAGCTGAATTCTATATGGTATGTCCTATAGTATATGAAATTTGTTAATGCAAATTTTTGAGTCTTTAGAGCACCAAATGGCCATGTTGCTTCTATTGAATTTGTAAGGTTTGTACTTCTTTTAAGTCTTTAGCTAAGTCTTTAGCTAAGTCTTTCAATATCAAAAGAAGTACAAACCTTACAAATTCAAGCATAGTTAAGAAAAAATATTTAAGTCTTTAGTTAAGTCTTTCAATAGTGTAAATTTAACTA